CCTCCCAGACCCTGAAGAAGACATAAACCAGGTTGGTTGACTCTTTTAATGTCTGTCTGTTTAATGCTGTTTCTGCATTTTTTTCAGTCCCAGCAGTGAAATTGTGGATTTAAGTTCACATAATGCTTGATAAATGTATTCACAGTGTTATTAAACCTCTTGACATAAAATGATAATGGAGAGTTATATGTAAAATTGCTGTTTAGATGTATTACAGACTTTGATGGTTCAAACTAAAATTCAGAGTCAAAAGTGACCGTAATTGCAGAAACACCCATGAATGGAATATTAAAGAGGCACTCAAGCAAATTAGGTTTTTTATTTGCCTTAAAATAATGGTTAAAAGAGGCTGAGATATCCTGACTTTTAGTCCAGGGTATCAGTTAAACTCCAAAAGCACTGGAACCTAAATTTCCCGTAATGCAACTTTTGCTTGGATCTTCTCTAATTTGTAAATGTCTTTCAAACCACGGTCACTGTTTCCAGATAGTGTTGCACTCCTCGCGATGAGTGAATGGGTCCTTAAAAATCATTGGCAGGCATTCATAAACAACTTCAGGAAATACTGTTGAATTAGGCCTCAGTAGCTCCACCGTGTGGGCTGTAATCAGACGTGCAACATTTATGTAGAACTTTACGCCTCCAGCCCTGGACATACTGACCGTTTGAAAAGTAAGTTATACTTTCTGCATCCACGTAGCCATGGGGGTCCACATTATGTCCATACCTTATTGTAAAATAAAATTATATTGCGATTATTTTGACATACATATATATATATATATATATATATATATATATACAAAAAAAACTTCCCTCTCACCCTCTTGGGGTGGTATCTGTGTCATCCTCAAGCTCGGGTCCTCTACCAGAGGCCTGGGAGTTTGAGGGTTCTCCAGTATCTTAGCTGTTCCTAGGACTGAGCTCTTCTGGACTGAGGCCTTCTGGATGTTTGTTCCTCGGGATCTGCAGTGACCCAGTTGGGGTCACTGCCCCGAGTGCTCCATTCTAACAGTTCCGTGTTTTCCGCCTTGTCCACTATGTCTTCTTCGCCAGTAGACCAATTTTCATCGGGTTTGCCCTTGGTTCCCTAGCACCTGACGCGGCCTTTGTTGACCCGGCGACGCTCCGACGCCGGTGTGACTCTATCATTTGTCAGTACCTCATTGTAATGCTGTTTGTCACACATTTCACCTTGTAGCTTCTGCAATTGTGGTATTGCACTTGGCCATATTGCGATTTAAATAGTATTCGGATTAATTGTGCAGCCCTAGTCTGCATGCCTTTTGACATCATCCAATGTAGAGTGTACAGGACTGCAAAGCTTCACCCATCCATGGCCCTATATGGAGTACCTCACGGCTTTTTAATAGACAGTGTTTCAGTTAAAGATCTAGGAGAGCTGACCTGTAATCACTGTCTGCTATTTCTCTTTGAAACACTTTTTTTATTAAGGTGCTTATAATAAGCATTAGTTAATAGGTAGTAAGGGCCTTTATAAGATTCTTATTAACACTAATATATGTAAATAAGACTATTTAAATGTTGCATTGCATTATAAACACGAGTATAAGACATTTGTAAGCACTTATAAGAAACAGTTTATAGACTGCTTAAGACTGTTAAAAAGAGTTTCTTATAATTGTCTATGATATCATTATAAACACATTGCCTTAATAATGCCTTATTAAGGTTAATACATACTTTGTTATGCACCTATTAACAGATTATGCTTTTCGCAGCTCGTCCATTTGGAATTAGCTCCACATGTTGTCAAGCTTGATAAAATGGGAATAAAAAATGAATTGAGTAATACGATGATTAAGCAGCGCTCTTATGTTACAAGCAGTAACACAGACCCTCCACGGAGCTACAGTGCATCACACCAATAACACCTTAACAAGCTTGTATCGCCTAAAAGATTCCATTAAGTTTCCTGGAAGGGAAGTCCAGAGCCTTGATAATGTGCAGAAGTGTTGAAATGCAGGTGTAACCGACACTAAGTGCTTTGAGAAACAGCTCTTAAAATTTGCAGTATATAATCTGTGGAGAGTCTGGGACCAAGTATGACACGGCTATTTGAAGGCCTACCCCTGTTTAGGGTCAGGACCCAGTAGATTTGTCTCAATCCTGATCTTTTGCCTAGTCACAGAGGGGAAAGCACAGGTGTGACTAATAACATTAATGATGTCTCTGTTGAGCGCGATAGCAGGACTCTGGAACTGGAACACCTAAACTATTATTAATATCATTAGTTCCACCTGTGCCTCTGTTCCAAATGTCTGCTGTGGGGAAGGTCTGCTTCCCCAAGGGGATCATTAAAGTTTAATCTTAATTTCTTCAGTAATAATAATCATCATCATAATACCTGGGTAATGAAGAGAAAGTGCTGCAAGTGTCTACGCAGCTGTGATGTTATAGTTCCACTGTAGACCACAAGGGGGCAGTGCTGGCTTTTCCTTGAACATGTCTACATGTCCAAATTATGTATGTAGTGCCATCATCCTGTTACCGCTCATCTCTATTTAACAACGCCTGTCTTCCTTCATTAAGCTAATTATACACAGTTAAAGCTAACACTACATAGCTTCAGACTTCACAGTTAACATAAACTTGTTACATGTTTTATTGTATGATATAACTTGACACCTGTTCTTATTTTAAGTATGTTTTATTTACCATCTTATTTGACATTAATCTGTCTCTTTATTTGTGTGAAGCACTTGATTGATTTCTCAATTTTAAAGCACTTTGAGCTGCATTTCTTGTATGAAAACTGCTAAACAAATAAATAGTTTTTATTATTATCTTATTATTATTATTGTTGTTATTTCCACATTTTCAAATCTTATAGAGGCCATTGGTTCTTTAACTTACAACACAGTATTGCAGTGATTTAGTATTGCACTTCCATCTTATACACCTACAATTATTATTATTATTATTATTATTATTATTATTATTATTATTACCACTAGGAGTCAAGTGAAAAATGAAAACAAAAACTGATATCCTGACTCCCTAGTATGGGTCAATCTCCAAAAAGGCTGGCCTCCAGGCATCCTCCATTTCCCATAATGCAACTCAGTGGCATATTTTGTTAAATCGGCTTGTAACAAAGGCGTTCTTTTATAAATTTGTAGTCTCCAAGCTCATGCTAAAATTGTATTCTTAGAAGTCTGCATAAAGAAGAGGAATGTTTTTCTCCACTGGAGCCAATGATCTACCACGCACACATGGTTGATTTTCACCAAAAGCGTGTCATCTCATCAAACTTACCTTTTCCACATACAGTACTGAACCTGTTATATTTTGATAATTGGTTTTATGTACCATGTAGTTTCCTGGTTGTATTGTAAAAATAGCCTCAAATCTGCCAACATTGCACCATCCTTGTCATCCCTTGTCTACCCTTTAAAAACATTAATGTGAGCTTTACTGTTCAGCTCACAGTAAGCTGTGTTTGTGAAAGTTTTATGGGGCATTAATACAGCTCTGTGTTAAAGCTGCAATCATTGATTTTAGTCCACTTGGGGGCAGCAAAACAAGCTACAAAGGTAACACTGACATACCGTCACCTTGTAAAGTTGTTATTGCAAACATGTCAAACAGAATAGCTGCTGGAAAACAAGGCTGATGAGAGCGCTGAGAACCAAAACAGTAAAGTTGAGTGCCGTAAAACCAAAACAATGAGCTAAAAACACATTTCACATAATGTAAAAATACTGATGAATGCAGCTTTAAAAATGTGGTCGGTTAGTGGGCGTGTTGCTTCAGGTAGCAGAGAGGTGATGGAACATAGTTAAAGAAGGCTGGTTTGAGTAGTAGAACAAAGTGGTCTGTAATACTCTGAGACAGGATGGGAACTCTGGAAAGTTATCACCAATCATTTTATCCTGAATGTGGACTATCACCAGTATTAAGCGTCCTTTCCATGTTGTTACCCATTTGGTATTACATCAAAGAGTGGACATGTGTGTGGATACAAGACTCTCGATGAACTTCAATAGTGGTGGCTACTATGGTTGAGCGACTACTTGGCTGAAACGAGTGTCCGGTACAGATAATGTGTATTTTACGTGTATCAAACGAGCGAAATGTGTCAATATCCGTACTCATAAATACAGCAACTTTTAGAAACATGGCATCTAATCAAACCAGTCGGATTGGTATTCTTTCCATTGTGTACTCTACTGCGTCTTAATTAACTCTTGTCACTACATAAGCTACAGACATTGTAGTGATATCAATTTTGTAAGGATATTGGAACCTATATTACATTTCTGCCAATAGATCCTTCCTAAATGTTACACACTGGACCTTTTAGCAAAACAGTGGGGGACAAAAAATGGCTTTACTCATTTATGTAACACTTTCAAGTGCTGCATAAACTCATGTACATGAAAGTGCATAAGCTACTTTTAATAATAAAATGTTTTTTATTTATTATTGGTGTTCATCAACAAATTCAGGGAACCAAAGATGCCAAACATCTGTAAAAGTACAGCATGGAAAAAGTAATGTTCTAGCCATTTTTACTAAGAAGCGTTTCCTTGAATGTTTGGCTGTGTTTCCCAGTGTTTAGCACTTTTGCAGCCACTCTAAACACTTGTCTCATGTAGTGTCAGATGCATATTCAAAAGACACTTTTTGGTATTTTTTCAAGAGCGCTTGCCAAGTTCATCCTAGCCCAGAGTGTGGATTTGAGAGTTTGGGGTTGGGTGCAAAGAGTGAGGAGAGGGAAGTCAGAAAGAGACACAAGAGGGAGGAGCAGGAGTCATCCCACCCCATTTATCTGACAGCCATTTACCACAGCTAGTCGATGTGCCAACAGCTCTCTGCCGGCTTCATGGTAGACTGGCTGCCCCTCCCCCTCACTCCCCCCTCCTCTGTCTAAAGTTGTATAGGCACACACACTCAGTGTCTATACTTAGCATTAGGAGCACATCAGAGCCCGCAGGGTAACTGAGGGGACAGATCCTCGTCTGTGAGCCCGAGCCATGGCTCTGCTGCTGGACAGCTCCCGCACCACGGCAGCCTACTACTGCCTGATCCGCCGCAGGTTCAAGAGGAGGAGGAAGAAACGCTCCGAGCGCAAAGGTACCCCTCCATACTGTACCTGCTGCTCTGCTCTGTCAGTCTGTTAGTCTGTCTGAGTGTTAGAGGACCAGAGTAATATAGTGACTTTGGAACAGATTGCATTAGTTCTGCTTCGGTACTGTTTTATTCTCATCATGGGAAGGACAGATGGATCCCTGAGGGCTGCTCTCTGAAAGTGACTGGTCTGTTTCAAAGCTGCTTGTTGTCCGATACTTTATGTTGTCATGAAATGTGCTGATTAGAACTCTTTGAAGTATTTAGCATTTAAGTTGTAAGCCTCTCATTTCACCGGTTACTTTGCTTTTTTTTGTGGTTCTGTTATTTAAATGTTTAATTTCAGTTCCATAGGCGTCAACTTTAATGGCATAAAGATAGCTTGCAAGTGCAAATGATGCTGGATTCCTATGCTAAATAACACATTTTATTCAAAAGTCAATGTCATTTTGAATGCATTTTTTATTAAATGAGTTACTGTGAGCTTAAAGACATTACAGGTGTTTGATATTAAACATCTGTTAAAGTACTACGTCAAGAAAGACATTGGAAGTGGTGTTTTATTCACTGTTACTCCTGTTTCTTTGAATGTTTTATCTTGTTTTTCCAATGTTTAGTAGGGCAGAATGATTATTTTCATCATGGACTACTCCAGTCTATCATTTTTCTCCATTGATCGATTAGTTGTTTTGCTTCCATATAATGTCAGAAAGTTGGAATATATTGATCAGCGCCCAGGGAGACAACCTCAAAAGTCTTGTTTTTCTATAGGCATCAACTTTAATGGCAAAAAGATGATAGATTTCAGTTCAGTTCATGTGGTGATTAACATGTTTAAACCAAAACTCAGTGAAATTTTGAATGCATTTCTTATTAAATTAGTTACTATGGTCATAGAGCCATTACAGGAGTTGGATATTAGAGGAATAAAAAAATTATAGATTTCAACTGTAACATGTTTTAATCAAAACCCAGTGTACTGGTCTTTAAATGGTATTTATGCTTTCGGGAACTATAACACCAAAAAATATTTTAAATATTTGATTTGATACTTTTTTATTTCTTTTATGCCATAACTTTTTCATAATTACTGCAGGAACAAACATAAAATCTGACACTGAAAAAGAAAAAGAAATCTCATTTTGAACTGATCAAAGTGCATCGATATTAGAGGCAACAGATCAAAAAGTTAATTTTTGAGACAATATACTTCAAGATGGAAGCTTTTTTGTAGCAAATGTAATTTGCCAAGCTTGGGAGAGAAAGCAGAATATTCTGTTTAAGACCAAGCTGTAAAATAATCTGTGATTTGAAATATTTGACCACTGTAACTTTACTACTCAAATCAAATCAATCAATGTTTTAAGTTTAAAAATATGATAACAGCTGCTAATATTTGTTTCTTAACATGGTAAACATTATTTAAACAGACCCACAAAGGAAAAAAAAATCTTAGTTTCCTTGGGTTTAGATTCACACTAATTTGTGCACTTTCAACGATACATTTTTCTTAATTTAAGTGAAATACCCAGTTACATGTTTATTTTAATGGCCAAGAGCAACACTTGTAAAATAAAGTATTTGACATCCATCATGCAGTCATCATCAATTTACTGCCTCCAGTGATTAGAGTGAAGTTTGTTAACTGAATTATTAGTGCTAGTATTCTCAGTAACACTCTGAATTCACCTGATCACTGACTGTGTTTGCATCACAAACCAATAACAACCTAAAAATAGTCATTAGAGAGTTTGGTTACAACTTTTAACAAATCAAAAACATTTGGGTTTTTTATACTGACAAAGGACTTGAATTTCATGGTAATAGTACCAAAGTACCACCTTTGCCCTTAGTGGATATAACTAACAATCAGTAGAGTATCCTTTAGAAAAACTAGTCATCAGATTGTTATTTATTTATTTATTATTGTATCCATTTTGTAATATAAAAATTTCACAAACAAGTCACCTGCTAAAAGTGATGTTTAACTTCCTGGAAGGAAGGTACCTATCATCATAGTTGTGAAGCCATTGTGAAGCTCAGTGTGGTTGCTTCTGGCTCTGGCATATTTCATTAAGGGCCTTATGGAGATTGACTGGCTTCTGGAGCCAGCCTCAAGTGGCTGTTTGAAGAACTGCAGTTTTTGGAACTTATTGTTGGCTTTATTTTACGACCATGTTGTCGCTTGGGTCTCATCCTTAATTCAATTTTTTTGGCCTAACATACTTCAGACTAGTGCTAAAGATGGGTTGGTCATGTTGAGTAAAGAATATCAAGATTTTCAACAAGATACAAACAAATAAATGGAGCCTAAAGCAAGTTAGATGTGTGACATTATAGTAGATCTCTGAATGAATAAATGCATCACAGCTTTCCTTGAATGGTTTCCTATAATGTAGTTGTACTACTAATACTGTAGGGCTCTTACAATGATTGTGGAGAGAACAGTGTCATTGTGGATTTGTTGTGACGAGGAAGTCTGAACGGCTTCTTCTCATCATAAACCATACTGAAGTTCTCATGTAGCAGCTCTTCAAAGATGTGCTGAGAAACGAGAAGTGTGTTTTCACTTCTAGACTTTAAATGCAGTGTAATGGGGCATTTGTAGCTGGCAGTGCAATCACTCACAGTGATTGGAAATGGATCTGGATTTTAGAGCTGATACTCAACGGGAAAAAAAGCTCTTGGTCCTGGTTGGTCCCGATCTTGAGTCGTGTATGCACTGTCCTCTGACACCCAGGTTGAAATGAGTCCCTGAAGTAACAAGCCTTAGGATAAAGTTTGTGATTAAAATATATTAGGCATAATTAAGTTTCAGCTTTCTATAATTAAAAAGTAATTTGTTTTTTCTTTAAGCATTCATTACTCCACCTTTTGTTGCACATGTGCCTGCGGACCAACGTCTGTTGTCAGTCCCTTGTGTATTGACCATAATTGCAATAATGGAAACTACTGTAAAATATTGTGAAATATTGCTGTATGGCTTATTGTTCTATCCCTAGTGTGGATATGGTTAAAATGTCATACTTGTGCAAGCTGAGTAATTGAACACGAGAATTCAAGAATCCAACAAAATAAAGCAGAAAGTCCAAAAACCAAGGTATGTAGCTCAAAACACTGGGAAGACTAATCAGGCAGACACAGGTGACACAGAAAACCAACGAACCAAACAAGCCATGACATAATAATCTATCTTGCCTTTACAGTCAAACAAATAGAGAATTGTTTTGTTTTTTTTAAACTTACTTGAGATTTAGGGAACATGGTTCAAGGGGCGTATCCAACTGTGTCACCACCTGAGAAATCTGATTGGCCACCTTAAGTGCCACCTCATTATCCTTACCTCTTCCACTCTGCACTGTTTTTCAGTGGGCTTTGTTTTAAAGCCAGAGTGAAGTTACTGGTATCGTATGAAACAAGATGACCTAACGCATCCATTTGTAGCAACCGTGTCATGTTAGCATGGCGGCTCAAGGGGGCTAAATAATGCTCAAAATTGAGGCATCATTTTTTGGTGATGGAAAAACTGGCATGTCCATTTTCAAAGGGATCCCTTGACCTCTGACCTAAAGATATATATTATTTGGTGAAGAGTGTTTTATGACTTGTTTAGGACTCAAAACTCAAAGTTTAGGACCTTTGACTTGACTTGAGATTTGAGTGGAGAGACATGAGACTTACATGTGACTTGCAAAACAGTGACTTGGTTTCACCTCTGCTGACTTCTGAATGTGATGGGGTTTTTTGTCAGGAAACAGATTTCTTACAAAAAACACAAGTAATCTGTTTGTTCTTTCTGAATGAATCAACGCTCTGTACCGAGTTCTTACATCATTTATATCACCAAACTGTGCCAGACATTTGTCAAGCCATTACTAAGCAAATGCATTCTGTGCACTTTGCAGAAGCATTAACTTCATCACATAGTAAATGTCGGGTGTTTAGTCTTTGTTGTAGTCTCCCTGCTTGAACATGTTTGCTGTCGAGCTACCATCCCGAGGCACCAACCAGCACTCCAGCTCCAGAGTCATTTTCTGTTTCACCCTGCTTCGTTGGCTCTGTTCATGATTGCAAACGTCTGCTAATATTTTCACCGGCTGCAAAACTCAAGTGCACTTAATCCTTGCATTAATTCAAATTTCAGCTATCGCCAGGAAAAGCCAAAGCAGCAGGTGCACTGCGATTTTTTCATCTTTTTCTCCCACTCCGGAATATTCAATTTAGCCTAACTGTTATTCATGCAGAGTGTGGTAAACAGTATTAATGTGTAAGAAAAAAAATGGAGCCGTTGTACATACTTTGCATGCGGGACGAGTAAGAAGCCCATCATTTCCGTGTCCCTGCTAAGCGGGGTGTTGTGAGATGAACTGAAGTGTGAGTTTAATCTACTGGGAGCAAAAGTGAATTTCAGACGAGGTATAAGCCGATGTGCTCTGTGAGGCGTGCACGGCACGCTGCTGCTAAGGGATGTGTCTGTCGGCCCAAAACCGCAGCCGCAGATCTCTGTCTGGCAAACAGCCGCCGCTCTGCGATGTGGAGGAGTTGATACAGCCTCCTCCCTACCCCGACATCCCCCTCCCTCCCCCACCCTGCAGTTGGGGTTTGGCCTGAAGCTCTGCTGATAACCCAGACTCTCCTCCGAAACCCAGAGGCTCAGGGTTGTGAGCTCCGCTGGGGGCTCTGACGCACACACACACATACACACACCTTCTCTACCCCCACTGTCCATCAAAAGTTCCATCAGACAGGTAGAGAGGGAGGCAGCATGAAGGGCAGGCTTATGTATCAGTTTTACTAATATTGACTTTTAATTTAAGCCAGATTTAAGGCAAGATTTTTATTGAAATACACGCATCTTATCAGCTTAAATCGAGCTGTGACAGATGATCGTACCATCAGCCGCTAATAAATATTTGCCCAGGTTAAATTCTCCTGTCAGGTGTCAAATCTTCTGCATCGCCAGAAAGCAATTAATCAGAACTGAAAACAGTGAAATACAAAAGCAG